CCGGCTTCAGCTTCCAAAGCATCACCCGGGCGCACCCAGCGCAGCTCTCCCTGGGGCTCAGCAACCCGCCCGCCCGGCGCAGAGCGTGCCCCTCACCACCCCTTGCAGCTGAGGGTTGTTCAGCCAGAGCCAGGAGCAGACCGGAGGCACGGGCTACGTGGGAACAGTCGCCCAGTGGAGCTGAAATCAATGCGTTTTCAGCTGGACATCCGCTGATTCCTAGTTAGCTGAACCAAAGTGGGTTTGCGTTGCACGTCCATCTGCACGACCACCACCGCAGCCACACACGCTGATTTTACGAAGGCAGTTTGCAACCCTGCGGCTACGGGGCAGGATCTGCCTGCGGGGGCTGAGCGGGCGCGGACACCCAGGGCCGAGCAGGGACCCGGCCCAGGGCAGCGCTGGGAAACACGCACCAGCAGGATGCGCAAACTGGAAGTAGAGGCCGAAACCCAGGCACGCGGCATTTCAACCTCCGAATCTAGCCCTGTGTTTGCTACTTTCTCTGTCCTCATCTCAAAAGAGATGACTGCCCCCAAACTCATTCTCCCGGACCCTTTAACCTGCTGCTCTGACTGCTGCGGTGGGCCGAAACCTGTAGCATGAAAACTTTTCACAACAACACTCAGCGCCTGAAGCTGCCTTGGCTGTGTGTGCCCCGGCAGAGGGAGAGAGCCAGGTCTGGCTTTGGGGCCGGGGTGGGGAAAAAAAAAAATCCGCAGGCAGCACGGCCGGGGCAGCCCGAAGCCGATGATGCTACAGGGTGAATGCACACCGACGCAAAAGCTCTTTCCCCCAGCAGGATTGCAGGCTACAGCCATGTTTCCCAAGGGACGCTCCCGGGAGCTGCAGTTGGGCTGCACCCCGGCCCTGCTCTCACCACCACCCAACAGAGCCTCACCAGCACCCTGCATCTCCCAGCACCCCACCGGCAGCTTTCTCTCCCCAGCAGCGCGGTTCGTTGCCCTGCTGTTGCTCCAGGGTTTTGCTCACCCCGGGCGTTTCTCCCCCGAGCAGCGTGGCCGGGCACCGCTCACGCCTGAGCCCCGGGGCTGCTGACCACCCCCCCAGCACGAGCTCCCGGCCCTGGGGAGAGGTGCAAGCGCGTGTGAGCTGAGCCCAGACAAATCCATCCCTGCTTTGGCAGCTAACTGAGCAAAGCAAAGCTCCTGGCGGCGGATGGGGGGGACTGGATTGGTTTTGCCGAGCCAGTTTGGTTACACTTTCCCTCTTCTGGGATTATTCTGGTAACAGCGGTGCCGATGGGATCACCCATCTTCCATGGAGGCAAACTGCCACGCGCAGGGCCGGTGGCGACGCACGGCAGCTCTCGGGGCCCGGGCAGCGGCCCCGCTCCCG